CCGTCTGTTGGCCATCCTGGGCTACCACCATTTCCCAGCCCAATAGGAGCTGTAAAACTTGTGGCTTACATAACCCAGCTAGCATTCTCCAGCTAATCTACAGTCTGGGCTTTGAAGATCACAAGAAAGCAAAGGTCACGACCCAGAGATCAAAGTGACAGAAGCCCACAGAGTAATTGCTGGTTACCCTCTGTAGAGGGCCTTGGTCTGTCCTGTGGGTGTATTGTTTGCACGGAGACATCAAACATACTGCCGGTCAACTGTGAGGAAAATCAGCTGGCCTTTGCCAGTTGTCAGGCATTCATTAATGCTGTAGGTGAGCTCACCTCGGCTCATTAGAGTGAAATCATTGTCATCTCTCTGAGCATCTGGAGTTATTCCACTCACAGTGTTTGTTCATTACTGTTTGGTCTTTATTGACTTTTTTTTTTTTTTCTCACAGTCTTCTTTTACCTGGAGGTGTGAGGGGGTGGTTTTATAAGGAAATTGGAGTAATAAGAAAGGAAGATATGTATGTATTTTTTATAAATTAACTTGGAGACACATAGACTTCAAGCAAACTAAAGCTTAAAAAAAGAGGCGTAGGCATCATTTAGCCCATTCCCTTAATTGCACAGATGGAGAAACCGAGCCTTAAGAGGGTGATAGAAACTAAACCAAGATTGCACAGCAAGATGAGCACAGAGTCTGGGCTCTTTCCTCTGCCCTGTTAGCCTTCAAGTCTTTTGTTATGAAGACCTTCCCTCTTTTTAAATTTTCTTCCCCATGCTTTAAAGCTTTATCTCTTAAATAAACTGCATATAAGCCATTGCTAATTTTTAAAAATTAGTCAGATATATTTAACTGTTGATCAGTGCTTTTAATGAGCATAAGGTAACCCGTGTTACCAAACAGGGTTGATGTCATCCAGTCAAAAGCAAAGAAGCTCGATATTTTGTTGGTGTGTTCATTCTATTGTGTTAATCTTTGTGAAAGATTGAGAACAGTTCATGGGTCACCCGTTGATTTCTTCAGGGGCCCCCAGTAGAGTATCAGTAGCTTGCACCATCCCTCCCCACCTCCCATGTATGGGAGCAAGTGGGCAGCAAGAGCTAATACAAAGAAGCATAGAATGCCATAAATGGAAGGAAGTAAAAAAAGCTCCAGTGACCCCACCTCCAGTTCCCTCAGAATCTAGAAACTTGGTATTTCTTGAGTAGAGTCTCCTCAGAGAAAGAAACATGGCAGCCAACCCCAGAAGCAGACAGTGGAGGTCCATCCTGGTATTTCTGTGTCGTGCAGTGTTACAGGCAAGCAGCCAGTTCCCCCCAGGTAGCAGTTGTGGGCAGGAGGGAAGAGCATTCTCCTCCTCCTTTGAAGTCTAGGTGAAAAAATGCCACAGCTTCAGGATTTGGGCTGAGAAAATTGATTTTGGATCAAAACAAACAAACGAAAAGCCTTTCTGCTTTGACTATTCTCCCCCTACCAGTTTTAGATGTCTTCTTAAATGAGTTCTTTAAGAAAAGGGAGCGTTCTATAAGAAGAGAGAACCTGAAAAGCTCTGTGTGTGGGTCTCACCTTTAGAGAATCTGCTTGCAGACAGAGACAAATAGGTCTTTAAACATCTTCCCAGGATCCCTGATCTCCTCTTCATAACCTCACCATCCATGTCACAGCCGAGAGTGCCCCTGCCTTCTCCCCGTTAGCCCTGGGACTTTTTGCCCAGCCACCTTGGGAAGGTCAGGAAAATTGGAGTTGCCCTCTGGAGCTAGGGATGGGAGACTTAGAACTTAGATGGATCTCTTTTCATTAAGCAGTGTCCTGGCTTAACAAGCAGTTTTATAAATCTGAAGCTGTCTCCAGGTGTCGCAGGATTTATAGACGGGGGTTTCTGCCATAAAGTGGTTTATGATGGCTGCCTTCTGTGTTATTAGTAGCTGTCTCTTCCTTCAGCCATTGCTGTTTGATAATAGCCTTAAAACACCCAGAATTACTTACCTGCAAGCCCCTTTCCCGATAGCCCCTGTTGACAGTCTGAATAAGTTTACTGCCCTTTTGTTGTACTTTACCTTCAAAACAAACTGATTGAACCATCAATAGCTCGTAGAAGCTGACAGAGGCATGTCATGTGGACTAGCCCTTGTGATTGCAGGTTATCTGGGGGAGTTAACCTTCCCGCATTGTTAACTGAAATGTTTTATGTACTATGCAACTTTAGGATACGGCTGTGATAACCTCAGTAACTAAGTAATACATCACGGTAAAGAGATTTTGGTGCAACAAATAACCTTGGATTAAATTTACAAGGGTTGAATTGATATTATAAAAGCCTTCATTCTGTGGCTTCGGGAATCCTTTCTTGTATTTTTATGGCAAGCTTGTATTATACACAGGATTGAAGCTGCAGCTTTTGACACCCTGACATGACCTAGAACAAAGGAAATAGATCTTCTGAGACCGGGATGGGACAGGCAGGCAGAAAGCCCACGGACTTATCACTTGGCAGTAATGTTTAGAGCCAGTTCCAAACCACCAAGGGGCAGGAAGATCTGGTATGTGTGGCTGCGGTCTGGGCACTGTGTACAAGGTAGGGCAGACCATTAGCAGAATTGAGGAGAATCTTTGCTGCCTTACCAACCTCATCATTCCCAAACTGCTATTTCTTGTGGTGTTATTTTCACTTGGACAGTAGTTCTCAGAAGGACCAGCAGCATCAGCCTCACTTAGGAACTTATTAGAAACGTAAATTACAGTTCCCACTCTAGATCAGAAACTCTCGTGGTGGGGCCCTGCCACCTGTGTTTCAACAAGCCCTCCAGGGGATCTCGATACCCACTCAAGTTTGAGAATCACTGTGCTAGTATATAAGCTCTTGAGAGCAGGGTCCTTGTCTGTTCTGTGCATCACCTTAAACTCAGCACCTGGCACAGTTCCTAGCAGGTGGTAGCTGCTCAATAATTATTTGTTGGGTGAGTGAATATATAAGTGAAAGAAGACATCTCTAAGGGAGGGACTTCTGACCCTGGGCTGAGTCTCAGGCCCAACTACTTGGGACAAGCTTTCCTAGTGTCCCTCAAATCTCTCTAAGCAGCAACTACCTGGAAACCCCAGGCTGGCTGTCAGGATGGGAGTCAAGTCACCCCTAGTTTCAGGGTGACTGGCAGCTTATTTCATGGGCTGTTTCTTTGATTGTATAAGATGAGTGCTCTGAAAAACAGCAGCTCTTTGTCATCTAAAATTTTTAACTAGCTTAAAAGCCAGCACCTCTCTCTCTCTCTCCTTTGATTTCAGGGCTGTGATCCAAAGTGGGGCAAAATGACAACGTGCTGTCTGTTGTCATCGTGGTTCCTGCCAGCCCCGTGAAGACATCTTTCATTTCATTATTAAACATTGGCTGATTTTCTAATACTGATGTTTTCTTCACCTGAATATTCATCTTTTCCCACCCTACACTTAGTGGGTGTCTTTACTCCTTTGAGCGTCACTCCTGACATATTGTTTCCGTCTGTACTTGTCTTTATTTGAAAGAATCTGTTGTCATCAAGACTTTGCTGCTACAAGCGGAAGATGGAAGTTTTCTCTGACATTGACTGAGGCTAGTGGGAGTTCTGTTGGAGGACAGAAAGGTCATTTGAGCCCCTTGTGGAATTTTTCTGATTTGTGGTAGGGTTAGGGAGCATTTGGAGGGGAAAGGAGAGGCTCTGGGAGAAATAGGAAATAATGTAATAAGGCCGGGGAAGAAGCAAGAAGTAGAGAGTCATTATTTCCAGGACTTTAGGTGTTGGGGATCACAGTTCTGCGGAGGAAAAATATACCTCCAAAGAATTTTAGAGTATTTTGACTTTAAAAATGAATAATATAAAGTTCATAACTAGATGCCTCCAAGTTGTCATCTCTGGTGTTCGGATGATTAGCTAAATCTTTAACCTGGACAAGCATATGGAGGTCAGTTGGTGATGTGAGACGACCTTATGAATGTGAGAGGTGGCCCTGGAACCCAAGGGTCCACTGAAAAGACAGGCATACTGCTTATCCCAAGTAACATTAGCACTGAGGAAAAGTTAAGTGCTTGGGTTTGCTTTAGGATTTGGTTCCTTGAAGCCTGCTTGAGATTTCCGGTTCCTCCTCATTGTCATTCAGCCATTAGTTTTTAGCCATTCGGTGAGTAATATTAGGTCTCTTTCTCTGCGCTCCCAAAACTTCTGTATAACCTCGATCTTAGCACATAGCTATGCTGATTTCTAATTTCTCTGTGCAAGTCTGTCATCTCCATTACACTAAAAACCCCTTTAAATATAGAGCCCATGTTGTAATCACCTCTGTATACCTAGGGCCTGGCACATAGTAGGTGCTCAAGAAATGTTCATGCTACAGAAATGAACTGGTATTTTACTGAGTGAATTCTAATGCTACTTTCCAAGATAGCATGAGGGTGAACAGCAAAAAAATTGTTCCGGCCTTCAAGAAGCTTATAGGTGAAGGCATCAATCTAACTAAATTCCTGAATATCAGACAAATTGCATGGATCTTTGAGGTGGTCACCCCAACATTCCTAAATGGTCTCTGCCTATTCTCTCCCAGATGCTTTGTTCTGCACAAGCTGCCCAATTTAAAGTTTTTGGATGCCCGGAAAGTAACCAGACAAGAACGAGAAGAAGCTTTGGTCAGAGGGGCGTTCATGAAGGTGATAAAGCCCAAGGTAAGCTGCCTATTGGTCTCGCCTTGTTGGTTACTCTCTGAACGTGGTGGATGTCCTCCTATGTGTTTAGAATTCAGGAGGGATCTCACACTAAGGCTTCATCCATGGACATACTATGAGCCAAATAAGAAGTAGGACTGGATATAAATTAGGTCTCCCTATAATCCAGTCAATGGGTTATAGGTAGCTCTTTTACCAATAAAACGGCACACCATGTACAACCCGATGATGATGTTCCTGGGGGTGGATTTCAGGCCTTTTCTTGAAGATGGTTCGTTTATAAGGTGGGGCCTCTGCAGGTCTGGAGATGAGAAAGAAGAAAGAGGAAAGTGTTGAGCATTTACTACTTCTCAGGTGAGTAGTGTTCCTCTAGTGCTTCAGAGGAGACCCTTCTTTCTTGGGCCCAAAGGGGAGCCAGGGGAGAGAGATATTCTTTGGTCAACAGCTCTCAGAGATATTGTCAGTGGGAAGGCAACTTTATGTGACCTGGGATAGGTGTGTGTTCTCTCCATGTAGCTCTGTAGCATTCATGGGAACGATGTTTACTGAACTTTCCTTTACCAGCCAAGTCTGTATTGAGGCTATAGAAGTGACCATGGTATCATCTTCATGACAGCATTGATGAGGTGGGCGAGATCTAGCTTTGGGTCTTGGATTCAGACACAAGGAAACTTTTAAGGACATGGACAACTATCTTATCAGGAGGAATTTGAGTCCTTCAGTGAAGCCAGAGGCTGGGGAATGAACTTGATGACCCTTGGTGACCCCTTGGAGGTCCATCACTGCTCTGAGATTCTGTGGAGCCACATAGTCATTTCCTGTGGGATCCCAGCTTGTGCGTTGAAAACACTAGCCCGGAAATCCTAGAGGTCTAGTTTGTCCTTGCTTATTGACTTAGAGTGCTCTGCACATGCATTGGAAATGATTAAGAAGGAAAGAGAAAAAAAAAAACAAACAGAACCAAAGCAGAAAAAGGAAACCTCTTCCATCAAGTTGCTCAGCTGGCAGCAGACCTCAGGCCACTTTATTTCCCTCAATCCATGAGGTACAACTTATTTTCCATTATGCTGAATACAATTGCTAACAGTTGTGGAAATATGTGATATGGAGGGTATAATGCTGGCAGATAAATGCATTGTTACCTGTTTCAGCACGTGGGAAATTAATCGAGTGATTCGTTTCATAGCTATTAAAGTGTTAACAGTTTTCTTTATTGAGGCAGATTTGACGTATTGCTCATGACTGCCTTTAGTTATTTAGCTTTTGTAATTTTGTCCAAACGGAATAATTTCTCTCTCAGCCTCCTTTTTTTTTTTAAAGATGCCAGAGAAAGCCATATCACCAAACCAAACAAAGTACACCAACTGAACTGTTTATAATATCTTGGGTTTGTGCCCATCCTACATTTCTCATCTTCATGTATACAGGCATTTTACTAGATCAATATTTCAGCTGCTGTCATTGTCTTTGACATGGGCAGCTCTACATCGTCACAGGAGATCTGAAGGTGTACTAAATACTGTATTTGGGTGGGGTGCTCTATATGTGTCCACCACTGTTGTAAGGTTCTTTGTATATAGATTTGCGAGTCCTCACATGACCCTATAGTGTATAAGGAAAAGAGCATTGGCTTATTCTACAGATGAGGTAACTCAGGCCTAAAGATATTAATTGGGGCTGCCTAAGTCACCAGGCTAGTAATTGCTGGAGCTTTACCGGTTTTTCTGATCACAGAGCCCACATTCTTCCACTCTGATTTCTTAACCTTGGATCGGTGAGCTAAACATTTTCCCCATGCGTCTCTGTTCAAACAAAGCCTCATAAGAAGGCCTCAGTGAAGAAAACAAGTGAAAGCAGGACTGTTCTGTTGAAGTAGAGATGGTGGTAGCAGTGGAGGATGTTGGTAGTAGGGAAAACTGAAATCCTCACCTGTCTTTGAAAGCAAATGGGAATGACTCCTTAAAATCTGGTAATAGCTGGTTTTCTGAGTCATTAGCAACTTAAGCAGAAATGTTCTTCAAAGCTCCAAATTAAATTCTAATCAATTATAGAATTAGCTCATGTTTCTGTGATTGACTAACATCTTTACTAACTGTATAAAGCTTGAAAAAATATCCATTAATTATTTGAGAACAGGCAGAAGTACTCTGACAAAGTATGGGGACCTTCAGTTGTTATCTTTCTGTAGAATGACATGATTTCCAAACCAGGGACTTCAGAAAACACCTGGCCTGTGATCTCATTTTATGGGTGAAAGAACTGGGAGAGAATGTAGTTTCCTTAGGCCCCCACAGTCCCATGGAGACAGACTCAGACCAGAACCCAGAGGCTTCCAGTTAAGTGTTCTATTTATGCCATGAGCCTTCAAGTGTACCAGAGAATTTCTCTGTGTTCCTGGTTTCATATCAAACTGTATGCTTCTCTTTGAATGGCAGGCAATTTCCTTTTGTCTGTTTTCAGAGATATGCACTGGTACTTTTCTTGCAGATAGAGGCCAAATGAGCTCCTTGCTGAATTAATAAATTGATGTTAAAAAGGCTGGTTCTCGCCTGCTCACAGTATATACAGACATATGTTTGTTCCTATGCAGGTGTGTATATATGCTTTCCATCTCTGTGTATATATACATATGTATGTTCTGGGAGGTATGTGTACGCCTGGATTCGGCTCCTAAGTGGAGAGCAATTTCCTCCCCATGAATTGCCGACGCTGTGCTGAGCAGACTGTGTGAAGACCTATTTTTCATAACAGCATCAGAATCTCAAGTTGGCTTCTGTCCTTTCTGAGGCAGCGGCCTGTTGTGCTTATTCAGCAGAGGGCTCTGATGGATGATCAAGGGGGCCATGATTTGGGGAGCTGTTTTCATTTTATTCTTGACATAAAGTATTTGGGAGAATGGAAAAATGCCTCTCCAATCACAGCCCTTGCCTTGGAGGTAGGGAACGGGCAGTGTGGGTGTTCTCAGCTGACGCAAATGCAAAATCATCCGGGAGCTAATAAACCCCCTGTGTCACAGAGGTTTGATTTGGTACCTAGCAGGCCTTGGCACTTGAGTGCAAGTTCTCTCTCGCTTTCTCTCATGATGACATAGTTCTCTTTCATTGCTGCCTTTTGGCTTTTGTTGTTTAAAAGCTGCCTTCTGTCTGAGCTCTGATTGTTCTACGGAAAGATGCTGTCATTCATTAGGGAGAGATAGCTAATGGTACAATGGCCTCTTCTAGACGTGTGTGTGTGTTTGTGTTTGTATGTTTTTAGTTAATGGACTTACAACAGCTACGCTTTGCTCATTCCCCAGAATTTTAAAGAAAATATATATCTCTGTCAAATATTAGATATCGAATTGTGCCATTGTTAATGCAGAGAGCACCAAGCTGGATGCAGAGAAGGCTGAGGCCCCCAAAGAAAAGCTTCTGTAATGACCACACCATGACCCCTCTTGCTGCACTGGGAAATATAGATCAAAGCTGTGTAGAGGCCTGTCCAGGAGGGCGTACGTGGCAGACACGCCAGCCCTGCACATCAGAGAGACAGTTCAAGAATCCGACAGTCAGAATTGCTTAATTATGTCCTGGCTTTGTAATTATTCATCCCTGTTCTGGCAAAGAGCACAGTTGTCATTTCTTTGACATATATTTAAAGCTAAGCTCTCTTGTTTACAGGCACATATACAAAGTTGGCTACCAACTATTTAATCTTCAGAACCTTACAGAAGCAATGGGGAGATTAACTACAGGGGCAGCTGGATTGAGAATCACTGCTTATATTAGAAAGCGTTTTAACATGTGTATTTTTGCTTGTAATCATGGCCATTCTCTTATAGGTAAGATATGGTAATAGGTATATTAGTATATTAGTAGATAGTTCCTTGAAAATATGTTATGCGTGTCTTTATGCAGGTATGCCTGGGTTTCCTATCATGTGCAGTTTGTGTAGTTTTTCATAGTTTGTATATTTGTGTGTGTGTGTGTGTATCTTTGAGTATTCGCACAGGGGCTGTGTGTGTATGTGTGTGTATGTATGTGTGTAAGCGAAGGGGAGGGAGCTAGGGAGATATGATGTGTTAAAGGAATAAACTTCTGAGTACCTGTACCTTCCATAAATCTTTTTTATTCTCATCCTTAAACTGAAAGCTACAAGTTATTTGGGTCCGAGGATCACTTGCTTCTATGACTGCACTACACAATCTTGTATTTGACATTTGGAGTTGGGCTCTAATTCCCCTGAGTAACTAGTTTCTTCCATTGTGTCCATGTTTTTAGATTTCTGCCGAAAAAGGCAACCTCGCATAAAGACAGGGAATAGAAGCATTGGGAAGCCAACTGTTCATTAGGATAAAGCAGCTGCTTATCCACTGGATGTCAGCTTCATGAGGGCAGGAACTTTGTTTTCTCATTCTCATGTCTCCAGCGCCTGGGTTATAGCAGAGCCTCGGCCATAAGAATGAACCATGAACAGAGTGTGTTGGAAGATCCATCCCGAAAGGTGGTCCATTTTTTAATTGCCTCAATGGGGTCCTCTGGAGGAGCAGGAAAAAAAGAAAATGTGATAATTTGAGTCTATTGACAGGAAAGAGAGATTCTGGATCGAATATTTATTTTTCGAAGGAGTTACCCAAGGATTACTTACGATGGCAAAACCTACAGCTGTTGTGATGCCTGGGCCTCGGCTTCTGCGTCAGGTCGCATTGCTGGGGGAGGCAGAGGTGAGGTCTGTAGTCCCTGTCACTGCTCGCAGTGCTCTCTGAGATCTTCTTTCAGAATCCACCTGCTAATATTAGAGCTTTTAGGAAATAAAAAGTAGCTTTTTCCCCCCCCCCAGAAAACATGTCGGGGTACTCTACAAGTCTATGTGTAGTTAAAATGAAATTTTCCCTCTTTTAGCTGCTATTGTATTTTTTGTCTTACCAGTCTGATGGCTTGTTTGGTTCATTGAGTTGTTTTTTATGCCTAGCCTAGTTCTTTATAAGTGTTCCCTTGTTCTAAAGTACATTACATGTCTCT